TTTTTCCTGCATTTAAAATCATTTCCCATCTCACAACTCACCTTTATATCTCTATGAGTCTTCCTTCTGTTCTTCGTTGTTGTTGAATGAGTTTAGAGCTCAGAGTCAGGTCGCAGGTAATCTTTGATTATGAATACTAATTAGTGATCATTTGGTTTCTTGTTTGATTTTTAAAGCCTTTCCTTGGGAATTTATTCTTCTTTTTTTTTTGTTTTTGTCTTTTTTCTTTTGTTGGATTCCGATTCTTATTGTAAATCTTCAAAGCAGGATGTTCGGTTTAAACTTCAATTTCGGTTTCTTTTTGTTTTCTTGTTTACTATATGATTTTGGAAAGGAATTTGAGGTTTGATTTCTCTACTTTCTTGAACAAGATTTTGGTTAGATCATGTTGTTGAAGTCAGAATTCATTCGAATGCTGTTTTCTGTGATTTTCAAAGATTTGGTGTTGATTTCTTGAAATCCAGATGGTTTTTGTAGCTCTTGCTGGAGATGATATCGCATCGGAAATTCAGAGTTCACAGCGAAAATTGAGATAAAAACTCTGTTAAGAACTAACTAAGATCATCGTTATGAATTCTAATCGAATCCAGCAACGATTGCTTTAACTATTTTTTTTTTTTTTGGATAAAATCTCTGTTTGAATTTTTGAATGTTCTTTAAATTTCAGTAATTCTTCTAAAATTCGCAGCTAAATTTGTATGTTTAATTCAAGATTTTATTTTATTTTATTTTATTTATATATTATTTTGATCGGAAATTTGAATTCTGTAGAACATAAGAAAGCTTCTCGGGAAAGACGGAAGGGGAAAGTGAGAAGAAAGAGAGTCTGTCTGAGGTAAATAAGGCCAAAATCTCAAGTTTCTTTGATTAACTGTCCTATTCTATGGAAAAAAGAAGAAGAAGAAAAAGAAAAAAGAAAAAAAAAGGAACAGCTCATCTATTTTGGTTTGATATTTGTTTTAGGCTATGAGTTGTCTTCTTGTATTGTTCCAAATCAGCTTCACTATAGTTGTAGGCGGTGCCACGTTAAAATTGTTGACTCTCTGCACCCTGCACCTGCGGTGCCACATGCGCTGGTTAAATTAAACAGGCCTTTTTAGGTGTTGCCTTTTTAAGATCAATAAAGTACGGCAT